ATATTAATATTTGCTAAGGAAAAACACGCAAGTGAAAAGAATTCAAAGACATTAGTGGGGGTGGGAATCTAGGTACCTCACAACGATGATTCTGGGACTCGCAATCCGATTGTAAAATGATTCTTGATCTGCATTTTTTTTCTTATTAATGAATGAATTGTTTTTTATTTAAAGTACTTTTTAAAATAATGACATGCCAGATGTTTCCGTTTCACTTTAAATAAATTTGTTCAGGCTGTTGTTTACAATGAATGCCACTATAATTGAAGTTTGTTTAATTTTTCATTCCAGTTCTCTGAATACAATTAAATTAAAAGGATTTGTTGTGGAGTGAGGAGAACTAAAATAGGCATTTGTGGTGTTTATAATGTTAGTAAATGTTTCAATTTGTTTATTTTTTTTTTTTTTAATTTGGACAATCTGGCCCTGAAAGAAAGTAACTGTAGAACCCAGGCATAACCCTAAATTCTTTAATTGTGATTCTTAGAGTGCTAAGTGAGATTGCATCTACTACAACCCACAAAAGTAGCCTTTTGCAGGAGGGAAAGACCAGGCCAGTCCAGTGACACCTTTTCCACTTTCTATATTATTTACCGGTTAGATATTTGCGATGACCTTTTCTGTTTACTCAGTCACCGATGGTTTTCAAAGTAACCGGTAAAATTTAGAGATAATTATTATCTTTCAAAGATGTGGCCGTAGTGACATTTAGTATGTCGGATATATTTTCATTTGTCTAACGGGGATTCCTCTAGCCGATGAAGTCCCCTATGGCCCAACTGAGTGACTGAATGATTTCCTTTCACACTTTCACACCCTTCCACATTCTCTTGTTGTCTTTCATAGTTTGGTCGACTGTTTCCTGGTAGATGCAGCAGCCGTCAGTCTCAGTATGTCCCCTACCGGGAACTTCCTGGCCTCTTCGCACGTTGATGGTCTAGGTATTTACTTATGGTAAGAGATTTCCTTGCAGATACCGTGTCTGTCAACTCTTGTTTTTACTATTCAATTAGTTATATCACACACTTAAGATTTAAGATTAGAACAGTAGAATTTTGTAAAACAATTAGCTAATGATTATGTTATTCATCATGACTGAACAGGGAAACGGTATTGTGGGTTGAGTTCTAGAGGTTGCAACATTAATCTGCTGATGAATGTATGAATGGCTTAATTTTTTTTAAAGGAATAAATAGTTTTAGTTCATTTACTCATGCTAACGTTGTTTCCAAACCGTGATTTTTTTTCTCTCTCTCCTACAACACAAAATCAGATGCTTTGAGGAATGTTCAGGCCGCTCTTTTCCATGCAACGGAACATATACATGCATATATGTGAAAATGTCACATCTTATGAAAATGTCTCTTGTCAGTCTGATAAAATAATCAGTCAAAATGCAGTGACTTACCATGACACATGCTTGAAATGCAAGGTTAAGTTGAGTTTATTGGGATACAGTACCCCAGCACTGTATGCTTTGTTGTTGTAGGTCAAGTAGGTATTCAGTGCATACATAAAATTTGCACGCTATGTGCATTATACATATTTCATATTGTAGAAATGTTAACCCTATAAAGCCTGCTGTATCGT